ATTATTTAATATAATTTATAATAATAGATTGTAAAATTTTTTACAGATCAATCAACTAAAATTTTTACTTTTCTACCATCTATCCCTCGCAATTTGACGAAATTAGCGGCTCTTGATAGAAGCCAAGCAGCGAAAGTCTCGCAACAAAATCATTTTGCTATAATTAAGGAGTTAATGGATGAGGAAGCCGAATTGATAGGAGCAAATGAATAAAAAACAGTGACTGAGGTGGGAAACAAAGCAATTTCAAAGGCGTACAGCTGTCAAGTCTTTGTGTCGAGTCCCGTCAATGCCATATTTATTACATATAATTTTTTAACTAAAATTATCACTAATTATAAGTTAAATGTTAATTTTAATTTTTTAATTTTAAAATTTTATATAATTTTTATTTTTTTATTTTTTTATATTAAAAGATTCGAGTTATTTTGACTTTTTTATAAAAGATTCAACATTAACGTTATTATCTTTTGGAAGAAGTAATTTTTCATCACATATAAATATAATTCTTTTTCTCTAAGTTTTGACTCCAATTTTTTGTCATTTTATTGTTTTTACTTTTTTTATTTTTTGAATTCATTACAATATGAATTACATATTAAAAGTGAAATTCACTTTTTAAATTTATTAAAACATCTTTAATAAAATTATTTATTATGTTATTTTATTAAAAATATTTTAATAAATTTATAAGTCAAACTACAAATTTAATGTACAATCCACCATATAAAACATTTTTTTGTGATTCTTTTACTATTTCTATTTTATTTTACTTGACAAAGTGAAATTAAAGAAATTAAAAAAAAAAGAATTTATCTTTACATAATTAAAAGATCAACACCACTTAAATCATTAAAAAATACCTAATTACTAGTGCATTAAAGCCAACTAATTCTTTCGTTTAAACCCAACCCTGCAGCTTACTCTAAAAAACCACTAATCTACCTATCTACTATTTATCACCAATCCCCTTATTTCTTTCCAATAAAAGTCCATCTAACCAAGCAGCCCCAATTTCATTACATAATTAAAATTAACTCACGTCAGTCAACTGCTCAAATCCCCTTCCACTTTTCTCCATTTTTGATTCGCTATTCTTCTTCCTTATCTACGAGTGATTGATGCCCCGCCATTGAATATTCAACTGAGTATCTAATTTTAAATATAAATAAAATGATTATACATATTTAATTTTTTGAAAGAAATTTATAAACTTAGTTATTTTAAGGTAATGATGTAAAAATAATCATTTTATACCATTTTTTAATACTTTTATGTATCCTTAAATGATTATATACATTTAATATTATAAATTTTAAATAAATAAAAAACCAATCATTCAAATATAACATAAAAAATTATCTCTAAATTATTTTTCTATTATAATTATCCAGTCATATCAAGAAAAGGATGTGAAGTTAATAATACTAATTACTCCCAATCACAAATTGACAAAGCCTAAAAAGAGAAAGCAAAAAACTTGAGTAATCTCTTTTACAATCTAATTTTTATCATGATGTCCTTTACGGTCATAGATAATTATTTGACAATATTATTACCAAATGAATAAGATATATATTTTTGATTAATAAGAAATTAGAGTGCAAAACTAAGATTAATTATAACTTTTAGAAATAAATCAAGAACCAATTTTGAATAATATAATTTTAAAATATTCTTGAAAGTTTTTAGTAATTATCTACGTAAAGATGAAATCTCCTTCATAACAGTCTAATTTTTCCAAATAACCTGATATTACAAACTACCAAATCCTTCACCCAGCCATGCTTCATATGCCTGAAGGAAAAAATTAATTATAAATATTTTAAAAAGGGCGCAAGAAGATTAAAATGGCCAAATGCAAAAAAGTTAAAATATTAGTTATGCTCATCATGCCTACTTACTCACAACGAATATTAGCTGTGCTCACCATGCCTAGGCTGCTAAAAGAAACTTGTCCTCCAAAAATACTTGCAAATTCCTTAACTTCAAAAACCAACGGCTTCTTCATCAAATCAAAGAAGCAATGCCAACATGATCAACTCAGAAAGTGAATTTATGTGATCTTTCTGCTAAAGAACTCCCTTGGCTATTTCTCCTGAGCAATATGAAGCATATTAAAGAAGAACCTTTTGATTGGTAGTTCTGTCAATCTTCACAATTCTAGCAAAACCCCCTAAACGTATCGTTTGGCTAAACAGCATTTCCAGAAATTCTAGCAAAACTTTAAATCTGTTTAGAGAGCCTACAGAAATTGAAAGGAAAAAAAGGAGGCAAAAACACATTAATATACAACGAATGCAAAAAAAAAATAAAAAATAAAAAAAAATTAGGCAACTTGCTGTAAAATTTGAATACAATGATAAAAAATTATTCATTAACACTTGACAAACAACAATGGGAAGTCATGTTGAAAAGTGCCAAACACAGAAGCAGTATTTATGTTTCTACTTATTTCAATCTCTCAAAAATATTATAGCTCATATGACTGTAGACAATAAAAAGCAAGGAAAAAGAATCATGTGAATATCTTTTCTCCATAATGCAAAAAATGCAAAGACCAACCTGTAGATGTTATTGAAGCAAAATAAAACTTCAAACTTCAAAGGTCTATTAGACTTTTTAGAGGCAGGACTACATTGATTTTACATTTGTAACATGAGTAAAGAAACAAAAAAACTGCATAACTGTACATAAAAAAAAAAATGCTAGGTTTTCTCTGCACAATCTAAAGTAATATTTAGTTATTTATTTTTTTATCATGGATAAAGAGTTACCCACTTCAATAATAATATTGGAAATTATGCCAAAAAATTCTTAGAAGATTAGTAAGCCATGAAATTATATGTAAAATTGATGTAATAAATGATAGACATTAAGTAGGATTAAGGATTCATATCACAAAAAATACACTAATGTACCAACCACCACATAATCTCTTAAATTGCTAAAAATGGTACTTCCAACTCTTGAGATATCTCTTGATCATTAAAGAGTGAATGGATAAATTTGGCCAGATCCTAATATTGATCTACAATGCAATCCACTAACTATACATGCATGCAACACCCTAAATGGCTTCCTGTCGTGACTGAGCTCCTAGGGTCATTTCTTTGATTCCAAAGTTTGAACCATTGCTACCAATTCAATATAAACGTGTTAAAGTTTAATTCTGCCAACCTCTGCAATCTCTATATATCATTATATCCATAAGAATACTCCACACAAAGCTTCATAACCTTCATCTCCCTCCATCTCCTTGATAATAAGTTAAATTCGGTTATCCTTCTAACTAAGAAAATGTCACTCTAAATGAAGGAAAACAAAAAAAACAACTACTAAAATCTTTATGCAGTATTTCCATAATTTAAAACTTCAATGGAAGAAAAATATTTTACAATAACCCATGCCTAATACATAATTATTATTACTTTCCAAAATTAACCAAACTGACTTAAGCATTAAGATGCATTTTTTATGGAAATTTTCCATCATTTTCTCATCAATCAAATAGGACCAAATGAAAACAAAGCAAAATAGCGAGCAAACTCTAAAAGTAGAGGAAAAGATTAAAACAAAGCTCACATGAAAAAATATTGAGCTAGTCTTGGAGATTCTTGAGAGCGATCCTTATTGCATTGAGACTCTTCACCTCCATTCTGACAGAGTCATTGTCATCTTGGTCTTGAAGTCCTTAACGAACACAAATTTGGCCTGGTTTCCTACACCAGCCACAACTGCAATATCATGAAAAAGGAACATGTAGACTGTACAAATTACCAACAAAAGAAAAAAGAAGAAGAAGAAGAAGAAAAATAAGATGAATGGAAGAATTTTTATTTCTAAATATGATAGATGGGCCTTAATAAGAAAAACCTTAAACGTTCTCTAGATGAATACAAACTGATAATATATTTCTTGATTCTAATTCATGAGAATATTTTCTAATGGTTTGTAAATCCTAAATATCTCCAAAAAGCTTTTATGTAGGTGGTAATCTTTGACTATTCCTCATTTGTATACTACCTTTCTCCCTCTCCTTTCATCAGAAAAAATACATATATGATTTTACCCCACTTAGAATCTCAAATACTTCAACTAATTTTCAGTAGCTTTTTATTATCTTCAAGCTTCTACTTTTCTATATGTACCGAATGCACTATATTCAACAATTTTCAAATAAAATTTCAAACATCTTGTTAATTCCTCAACTGTCTCATTCTATTTCTCCACCTTTTCCCTTCTCCCTCTATTGCAATTCTATCTATTAATTTGTATAATTTCCGCTACAGTCTGTAAAGTTCAGGAACTAACACTACAAGAAAAAAGCTTATTATCTGTGTTTGTTAAGAGACTTACCTGCATGTTTAAATGCAGGTAAAAAAGTTACCAGCATTTGCATAAATGCCACACAAATGCTGGTAGAGGTGGAGCCGGTAAAACCATACCTGCATTTTATATAAATGCTGGTATAAACTTCTTTTCCCCTGCATTTA